TTTTTCTTCTCTTAAGAAGCGGACCAGCGTTCTGTATGAGTCTGGATTGGTTGTTATTATTTTGAGGCGGTCTGCCAGAGCTTTACAGTGAAAATTGTCGACACCAATTATCTCAATGAGCTTAGTGCACAGATCAGTAAAAGTAACATGTAGTAGTCTTAAGAATATTGGTGGGGGTAAAGCGGTCTTAGGTTCAACGTTAAGGGATGCCTCAGGTTTTTTATAATTATTATTAGTTGAATCAGTCGTTGGGAGTATTGGCTCGTGATCATTTGATGATAAAACTTCGTAACGATTTGCGGAAAAAAAAAACTTTTTATTTTTATTCACCGGAGTTTGCGGAGAGTTTTGTTCGGAAGAGCTAGAATGACAACGTTTACCATCCTTTGTTGGTTGGACCAAGGTCCAACTAGTCGAATCGTCGTCTATGTTTTCGATAACGTCTTCAAGATCATTAGTTGTGTTTAAATGAGTAGATTGTGTATTATTATTATTTTTATTTTTATTTTTCTGTTTCAATGGTAGATTAGGAGGCCGCGGCATATTATCTTGAGAGTAAAGGTCGTCGTGCACGTTGCAGTGATACGCGACGAAAGTTGTTGTATAAACGGTAATTGATTGGTTTTAAACGCACAATTTTTATTTTAACATTTTGAAAACGAAGCGCATTGAGCGCACTTGCACTTTTATAAGTTATATATTATTACAAACTAGGTGATTTTGAATTTTTTGGTAGTAAACTTGACGAATTCGAACACGAAATGATAACGGGATCGAAACAATTATAGGAGCGTACGACATACGTGTGTAGCGGACAAGGTGCAAATCGCAACATTATTGCAAATGAAATTAATAGGTAGGATGTATTAGTAGTAGGTATATAGTACCTATCTCGACTAGGTGTCCGACGATAAATAGTTATAAATAGTTATAATAGTTATCGGACGGCGCGAGGGCGAAGTAAAATATTTACTGCTTTCGGTAAACGACCATTCATTTCTCTATTGACTGTAATTGACTTTTCATTCATCACTGTTAGTTTGAAAGTAATGACGAATACGAGTTACAACAATCATCAGTTATCTTTATTATATTATTAATATATTTTGGAAATAAAAACTACTTAGGTGTACAACAATACGTCAAGACTCAAGATAGTACGATAAGTAGATAATGGAAAATGACCAAAACACATGTAATATTCCTTTTTACTGGCTCAACGTCCAATATTAATGAATAACGTTGAACCTTCGAACTGTTGAAATTAAACACGTTCCCATTATATTATAATAGTAATGTGTCTGATACTCTGATGTCAATAATATGTTATGGGTGCGAGTGAGTGAAGCGGGTTAGTGGTTACCTATAAAATATGGCTATTTACACGTAGGTACCCACCTAATTTTAATTATATTCAATACGATATGCGCAGGGTGTATACAATAATCGTTTTTAAAATAGCCTGCGAAAAATTTTGTTCGATGCCGTACAAAATAAGCGTTTCTAATTTTCTATATTTTTCAGTAGTCAGTCTGTAGTTTTTCATCAAATTATTATTATTGCGTATCATACTATAACGAATATTAAAAAGGAATAAACATGCATGACTCATTTGACACAAATCAGTCAATATCCCTAAACATTTATTATATAATATTTAATTTTTTTTTTTTTTTTTAAATAATTATTAAGTGTTTATTTATATAAAAATGTATACAAGTACGTCCCTAAACTGTTTGAAATACTTTTTCATGGGCTTAAGACCTACAGTGTATACCTCCTAGCCTCTGTCTTCTGATATTAAATGGTAACACTCATAAATAGTCATAATATTATTATATAGTTTATCTACGATTTAATTTTCAATCTCGATGTTAATATAAAAAAAACAGTAATCATTGCATTCCTATATTAAATATGTATAAAAAATTTAGAATATATTTTTTTATAATATTAATAATGAGTTTTTTTAGTACAATAATCAACTGTGTAACTGTGTAAGTAGACTTACAATATGATGGTTTATTTTCAAAAACTTAAATGTCTCGCAAGTTATGCGCCAGATATGATAATATTTTATAAGTAAAATTCAATCAATAAAATCAAAAATTCAAAACCTAGTGTATTTTCAACGGGTACCTATATAGGTTTCGTTATATTAAAGTTGCTAGACATGTACATAATATTATTGTAATAATATAAAATATATGCATAATCTATACAATATGACTACTTTAAAAATCTATAAAAATATCATGAACACGAATCTATTTGGAATTTAGTTTAATATAGCGTATAGCACCTAATGAGAGTATGAAGACGTAAAATGTTGAGCTTTTCACTAAAAGTAAGAAAATGATTAATGTTATTACACAAGAGTGTTCAAAAGTCTAAGTCTCTTGGGTTATTGTTATTATTATTAATTATTATTATATGTTACAAGTTATAATAGTTATCAGTTTATAACTAGGTACTTGTGTGTTAATCTATACACATACTATAATGGCGAAACGATAAAAATAAAAAACGAATTACTGGTTGTAGGCGGTCAAATGTCCAAATTATTACAAAATATTTTCATTGGAACGACGACTAGTGCACTGTGGCAAGGGCCAATAGGAGCGATACCTAAAACGTATAGATCCTTGCGAAAAATGATGGGTTAAAAGTTTTAACTTAAAACAGAGAACAGTGTACTGGAAATCTAATATACAATATAATATAATTTCCATCAGTTTTCGCCACTATTTTGTATTATTTGAGTAGTATACCTGTAGGTATAATAGTGTGTATATTAATGTACTTAAACGTGGAGTTAAGTATACCTACAATGACGCGAACAGTCCATGTAGGTATTGCCAAATACAATAATTGATAACTTACTATAAATCCTAAACCAAAATATGTACACGTTATTGTCAAATAAATCATTTTTTTCTTAAAATAACAAATCATTTGATAAATAAATATAGTTATATTTATTTGTATTATATATTTCCATTTCAGACAAATTATCGCAACAAATAATTAGAATACTAGAATGTCTAGAATCCTATACGATATTTAATATTTTCTAATAGCTAATGTTATTATTATAAAGTTTCTGAAATAATTGACACATGAACCTATATTTATAGGTACTTATATGTATAATAATATGGTATATAGTATGGAAATTGACTTAATCGTGGCGTTTGTTAATATAATAATCGTAAAATGTAAACGTGTAAAAAGAACTATGATTAAATTATCTGGCCTATATTATTATTTAAAAAAAAAAATCACTTTTAATAAATATTTAATACATTGTAAAAATAGACAGCCAGGCCCAAGGCAACGAGTGTGTATAATTACGCGATCGTGTAAGCGATACATTTAAAACGTCTCTTCCAAATGTTAAATTTTTTTTTTAAATATAAAAGCTGCGTGGTGAATTTTTATTTATTTTTATTTTTTCTATAAACATTAAGCGTAAGAACAGAGCGTACACGTCGTAGATTATTATTATTGTCTATACCGAACAATGCGGTTTAGTCGAGTGCATGTAATAGTAATTATTGCAGAGTTGTTTTGCGGACGAGCGTCGTGAATATTCGAAAGTCATAATGGAAAACCGCTGCAGGAGGCGTGAGTCGAGGAGGTATATAGGGAGGAATTTAAAGTTTTCGCGAACCACATTGTTACGAGTTCTGCAGTCGCTGCGCAACTTAATATATATAATATATAATATGTATACATTATAAAGTATACGCACAACCGTTTATAATTGACTGTCGAGGTCTGATCCGCTTTATATATATATTATAATTTAATAATACAGCTACAAATTAGTAAAAAAAAGAAACTGTACAGAAAAACAAAATACGACGGACAATGCGACTAATTCGCGTTGAAATTATCGCTCTCGCGGTTTGCCCGATGTCCGCTCACCCTCGACTATCATCCCTTCTTCCGGTGGTGAAAAGTAGTGGATAGAGGGGCGGTGGGGCCACCTTCCTCACCACCCCGTATGTATATAATATTATAATATAAACGAAAGGGGACGTAAAAATTCCCAAAACGGCGTATACGTACGACAGGATTTATCGACCGGAAAACGAGAAAACCGCGACGACGAATTACCCACGACACACGTGTAGCATAATATATTACGCATTATACGCAATGTTATAATAATATATTATTATACATATTATCGTAATGTATGTATTTTAGTTGCGCGTAATTCGGTAGCCGGCGAGACGAATGATCTCGTTCTGTTTTTGGTGGTAATTTAGTGAAATCTCCAACTTAAAACGACGACGTATAATTATACAGCTCACCAAGTCACGCCCACCTATACCTATATTACTGTAAGATTGTAAGAAGCAACACATTCAACACATTTCGGTCACTTTGTAACTCATTCGAAACACACTATAAACTATAGTAACCACTGAACACATAAATTATAGATCACATTCGAAGTTGCGAGAACTGTGCCTTAAGTGACGATATTGTTCGGGTAGAATCATCTATGTGGGTGGTTTTAAAAATCGGTTACAGAGGTCTTATATCTATACCTATTTTATACGATAACGACTGCTTGGTTATACTGTAATATGGTCGTCAGTCAGTGTAGTGTTCCGCGTCTACATGGGCGATGTCGGCGGTGGCGGAGTAGTGACGGGTGGGTGGGTGGGTGGTATGGGGTGGACTGTACACCGCTTATACATAAAATAAAACCGTAGCCGCCGTGTACGGACGAAGACGACGACGACAACGATGATAATAATAGTAATAATGATAATGATGATAATAAATAATAATAGTAAAAAATAACAATAACAACAAAAACAACAACAACAAACAAACAACAACAAACAACAACAACAACGATAACGACGGCTCCGGCGGTATAGCATATTATAATAATTATTATCGTGTATAGTGTATAATATATATAGGTTAGGCGTATAAATGATATTATAATATTATTATACGTGTCATTATAATTCCCATCAGCTGTGTGGCCCTTCGGATGTCCGGTGAACCAGTGCCTTGTGCTGTACGATTTTCGCTTCGCTCGCTCGCCGGAACGCCAATCGTTTGTTGTGCGCCGTCGGGCCGACGGCCTGCTGTTGCACATTGGCCGCCGGCAACGGTCTCGCGCCGCACGCGCTTTCCGGCGACGCGTCCGTTATGGTGATGCTCACGTTGGACGCCGCCTGTTGCTGCTGCTGCTGAAGTAGCTGGTGTTGCTGTTGCTTCCGGTCCGCGCTTCCGGCCGCAACGTCGCCGCCCTCGTCCAGCGACAGCGGCAGCACCGCGTTCGGTTTGGATTCGGGCGACGGTTCGCTGATCGTGATGTGCACCGGGCCGCCACCTCCTTCCACGCTGTAAGGGTAAAAACAAAAATATGTTTGTCAGTGATAAGTCCACGACGACGACAGACAGTGCGACCTAACCGGCTTCGGGCTTGCAGGGAGTGACCGCTCATTATCCATCCCTCCCGCAATATACCTGGATTTCGGTCCAACAATATACCTAGTTAATATTATTATACTAAACTATAATATGTATCGCTGGGTAAACCAGTAGCGGGGGAAATGTAGATGTGTGCAAAATGGAATTTTCTAGGTCAAGTTAAACCGAGCCCCCCACCCCCTGAGATCACCACCCACACTGTCAACGCCTTGTGCCGCCACTACCTTAACATTGTATGTGATTTAACCTATAAAAATAGTATAAATCGATATCACGCTTCGTTTTAAAGAGCACAGCAAGATGTTGGTAATATTTTAATTTTCAAAGACAGTATAATAAAATATGGGAAATTCGTGAGCTCCTACAAAAATTTAATCCCAAATCTGCCTCTACGAGTCGAATTTGAGTGTTTTTTTTTTGGGGGGGGGGATAGGTCGATAGGGCGTCTAGTAGTCCGTTGTTTGGATCGTACATCATCCAACCGGGAAACATGTCACATACGTTCAATCAAGGAACCCATTGGTATAAATAAGGCCGTTATATTATAATGAGATACCTACGGGGGAAAAGAAACCACAACAACGGTGTAACTAAATCACCTATCCGGAACGCCGTGTGATAATAATTGTATTATTAAAATATTAGGCTACCTACTTAATTTCCAATTGATAATTTGTTATACTACACACATTTTACTATATACTATATAGTATTATATATTCATATTGTTGTGTAATTGGGTAAATAAAAAAACAACTATCTAAATATGTTTCAAAATATCATAATATTATGTCTTGTGAGATACCGGGGAAAATTACCCTATGGTTATAAGTGTTATAAGTACCGAGACGTATAAACGTAAAAGTTGCATCAAAAAAGAGTGCACCTATATTAGTTTTTATGGTGGTACTTGTTTATTTCATGAAATAAAAAAATCTCTTAAAAACTGACAAGCCATGGTTACAATGGAATTGGTATGATGGTATTATACACAACAACTTTGGATGTTGTGTATTAGAACTTTGAATAAAAACCAAAATTATATTCTAATCATGCTTTGATTTGTAAAATTATTTTAATATTTCATTAGTAAAAATAAATAGTTAGGTATTAAAAATATTGAATTATTCATAAATTATGCAATTTTAATCAAAAATAAAAATTTCCCCGTTAATCACTTTCAATTTGATATAGTCAATATGGATTAAATTGAATAACACATTCATTTTAATTAAATTAACACTGCTTATTATAAATAGTTAAACTATTCAGTTACTTTTAGTTTTGTTTAGTATGCTTAGTAATTTATACATATACCTACTTATATTCTAAATTGTTAACTTCAGAACTTGTATTACAAGAGATTTAAACTATTTTTAGTACAATATTTTTTCTTGGCATCAAGTGCCGGGCTGGGGCTTCATAATATTATTCACCCGGAAACGGTTACACCCTTATTCCTTAATTCATGTTTATTGTTTAATGAGGGTTGCGACTATAATACAAACAAAGAGTAGTAAACAGATCTTACTAATAATAATAATAAACTATTGTATCCCCGTCGTCCACTTGCATAATAAAATGTATAAGATGTATAAAATATAAATTATTTAAGTTTAAGCCCCTAAAGCTTAGGTAAAAAATTATGTTTAATTAATAAGACTTGCGTTTATATAATCCTGGTTCGACCACTTCAATGTCATATTTTAATTTAATTTCGTTTATTTGCCAAGTGTTAAGCTATTATTAAAGACGCCTACGACTGAACGTAATGGATTGCTAATAATATGAATTATATATTTATTATTTAATAATGTTACTATTTATAAAACTCGTGGGTTTCTACTTTCTATCGATTAAATATGCTGACTAAATAATATGTCTCAATGAATTACTATTATCGATGTGCATCAAGGAATAATATGACATATGGGCCTGTCAATTGTAAAAACGCTGAAATGGCTGGAACGTTAAAAATATTTCTATTCATTTAAATATCTGAAGACTGCTAGTTTAATCGATAAACAATTTTTTTTTTTTTGATTGCGGTGCATATTTTTGGTATAGAAATTATAAACATTATGTTTAATTAAAGCTTATACGTTTCTATGAGATTCATACGTACAATTATATCTACAAGCTACTTATCGCAATGTGTTCAAGTGATTTTCGTATTAATTAAAATGTATTCGTAGCACTTTGTAAAGCAGATATAAAAAACTTCTAAACGGGTTTCTGTCTAATGAAATGTATTCAATCGCGTATATATGCTTGAAATTTTAATCAGGATATCTGTTAATTTATTTTATTTTAAAGTAAAAAAGATTATTTTTCTTTTAATTCTTACGTGTAAGATAAATATAATGATTAATAAATTTATCTTTTTAGCCCTCATTTATGAACTTTGCCGTTTAATGTACAATTAAGTTAATACCTATATTTCAAAATCTCTATTGCATTGTGATAATAATTAACATTTAAAGTTTTGGTATAGTTTAACTCATAAGTTGTGTAATCCTTCACAACTTGCATTTATATATCTCTCTCATTAATTAATATTTATTATATCCCAATTCAAATATGGTGAACTCATAGGTACAAATGTATAATAATAAGTAACAACAAATTATGTCTATGAAGTGTTATGATATCCATAACTATAATAACGTTACTAAGTTTAAAATGAAATGTCAATTATTATAATCATTTATGTAAACATTTGAATTTTAAATATTTCTTTTTCTTTTGCATACAAGAGAGCAGTTTAAAAATGAAATAAAGATATTTGATATTATTATGCATTAATAAAGTAAATACACTTTGTAGTTTGTAGTTTTAAGTTGATTGAAAATAATAAGCTGGAATACGAATCTGTAATTAATGTAATTGAAATTTGAATCCATCAAATACGAAACACATAAGAACACCGTTTTGCTATTATGGAAATACCCTTTGGGTTATTTACTGTTTATAAAATTATACTACTTCCATTGAAAGTGTCTTCATGAAAAATGTATGTTTTGATCACTGTAAATCAACAAATACAATACATTCTAAAGAAAAACGGTGTCAAGAATATAGTTTACTATTTGAAAACCAAAAGTCAATACTACGAGTCTACGAATGTTTATATAGAGAAAATAAATAAAATTTGAAAATATGCTTGTTAGTAATAAGTTCTATAATATCAAATATTGCTTTATTTGAAAGTAATTTTAAATTGATTAATTTGACAAATAATTATTGTTAAAATGTTACCGATATTGTTTATTAAATAATTTTATCGTCTTTTAATCAAACACATTTTTTTTATAGGGATAAAAGCATTAAAACTTTAGTTGCGCCTATATTTTATGTGCTAGTAGTCTAGTACTATTAAGCTCAAAGCTGTAATAACTTACTGTGATTTTTTCTTGGGTGACTGTTCTTCGTTTTTACCCGTCGTATCTAACTGAGCGTTAGATAATAAAAACAATGGTAGGTTAAGCCAGAGCGACGCTCCTAGTTCAGATATGTCAGACGTGTCGGAGGCTCTTGAAGATTTTCTGGACGAAGCTCTAGAACTACTACCGATACCTCCTCCAATACCACTGATTGACATGCCTTTAACATGTAGGAACGACGAAAGACGTGACTGCCAACCTCCGGGGCTTGAAGACTGCGTATCCGAACATAAATCATTTATGTCTTTTTTCCGTCTAAACAATTTTTGTTTAAATGCAGGTTATAAGATGCTCAAAATAATGTGATGGTTTAATATTGAAACAATTCCAAATAGGTTATGAATTTGGAATTAAAGAAAAATGTGGTACGTAAGTTTAAAAAGTAAGGACAAATATAATATTAGAATACAAGTTCATGATAATAAATTATACCTATAGATCAGAACGTGTAGTAATGAAGATTATGAGTGGACTACGAGTGTTGATTGGATGCAAGGTGTGTTAAAGTTGTGTCATAGAAAAAGGATAACAAATTTGTACATTGAAAAATTAAGTTACACCTACATAATAGAATTGTAAAAAATGTAGTATAATGATGGACGGGATGCAGATATAAAAGGCAAATAAAGACAAGAAAAGGTATAAATTGGGTTAATATTAAAACTACGATTTGGAAAAGTGTTCAAAGTAGATAACGTTGATGGATTGTTATTTATCCAAGTTACGAGGAAACAAATACAATACCTTCGGAAGTTTCGGTAACTTCTTTGTATTAGTCTCGCGGCTTTATCTTGACGTTTCCACAGACGAGTAGATGACACGATTTCCAGTTCCTTACGTGTTGGGAATTGTTTTTTAAACTTCACATCCATTTGATCTCGTAGCTGAACAGTGAACACAAATATTAAAATTTAAAATCATCATTAAATGTTGCATTTCTTTTTTTGTATAATATAATAAAAATGCAAACGATTATCGGTTACTTTTTTGAATTCGTCCGTTTCGTCGACATGACCAAGCACGTGTTTGACGAGTGCATGGAGTATATCCAAGCAATGTATCTTGTTGCCTCTCGCAATCGGCAAATTGAAGCTGACTAAAGCCACGATATTTGGTTTAGGTATGCCTAATGGTGGGTCCAAGCTTGCAATGAAATCTGATATTTGATTGAATGCTATGAACTGCGTTGCATGTGGATCGTACCTGAAATAGAAAAACGAAGTTTAGAATTATGTTTGAAAAATCCGATGAGATTTTCCAGTTACTTAGACCATCGGATGTAAAACATTTCGAGATCATCTTCTACTATGCCGATTTCTTCTTCTTGATGAGCTTGGTTAAAGTTTTCTAATATAATAGCTATGTACATGTTTATTACGATCATGTAGCTTATTATGATGAAACTCGTAAAGTACGTAATCGCGAGAATAGGATGTCCACAATTACCGTTCGGAAGTCCTGGAGATTCAAGTTCACAATCCGGTGGTTGTACCATAAGTGATTCAAGTACGTCGTTCCATCCGGCTGATGTCATTAGCCTATATAATAAACAAATGTGGTTCGAAATAATATTTTGGAATTTCAATTATATATATACAATTTATGTACTAACCGGAACAGCAGTTGCATGCTCCTACCAAATGTCTCAAAGTTTACCATGTCATTAATGGCTTTTTGTTTTTTGACATGCCCGAAAACAGACATACCGATTATGGCGTATATAAAAGTAATCAGACCGAGTAGTGCGCCAATATTGAAAAGTGCTGGTAAAGACACGATTAAGGCAAACAACAGTTTCCGTATACCTTTGGCGGCCTAAAATCCAAATAATTAATTTAAGTTACAACCAATTACACAATTACAGAGATTGTCTAAAATGTAATTTGATTAGTAATTATGTTTAGTAGTAACTAGGAATTTATTATTATCTCACCTTAATCAATCGTAATATTCTACCAATCCTGAACACGCGAACTACTCTCAAAAGTGTCGGTGATACTGGAAAATCGATCATAATATCTTCCATAAGTATACCAAGAACGGATGCTAAGACAAGCAAAAAATCAAAAACATTCCAAGGAACAGTAAAATAATGAAATCGAAGACCAATAATTTTCACTAAAGCCTCTGTAAAATAAAATTATGTATATTGTAATAACCACTTTATTAATAATTTGTATGATATTTTTGTAAAAAGAAAATTACCTAATCCAAAAACAGTAGTAAAAAAAGCGTTACAGACTTCTAATATGAAAAACACCGGATCAGGCTGATTGTAATGTTCAATACCCATTGTCAGCATGTTTAAAAAAATCAATACGAAAATTGCAATCTCAAACCTACGAAATAATGTTCACGTTTTAATCATTGAACATTTTTAAGTACAAATAATAAGTAAATATAATACCTTCGGGAATTTGATAAGTCGTAAAATATTGCCATAAATTGATTGACTGGGCGCTTGATTACTTTTTGTGGCTTTTTCCGGCCTAGTTTTTTCATGGCCGTGTAATAATGCTTTTGACTTTCAGTCAAGAACATTTCTAATACTCCGCCTTCGTACTGCAACAGATAGTTCATTAACATACAAATGATGTAACCTCATTAAAAATAATGGTATACCTTTTTTTTAAGCATGTTAAAGTTATCAATTATAACACCGATGAAAAGGTTTAGAGTGAAAAATGCTCCACATACAATAAATATCACAAAATATATGTAAGCATACAAGTTTGCCTCATATTCAGGTTGTAAGTCTACACCACGAGCGTCTACAGCATCTGCCATTACTTCCATCCAACCTTCGAATGTAGCCTGAAAATGTAATGTTCAAAAATATAGTATAGTACCTATTAAAAACATAGTTATATTTTGATGAAAATATAAATATCATTAATTCGATAACAGTGTAGCATGAGTACATTTTTTTTCAAAAATAATAATAAATACCACGAATAAACTTACAACTTGAAATAAAGCCAAATAAGCTATGCCCACGTTATCAAATGATATTTTTGAGTTTAACCAAGTATAGTTATGGAGCATGCAGTCACTGCGGTTATTGACAATCTACAAAAATTATTATATAGTTTTCATTTAACACCAATAAAAAAAAAAACCACATAAAAACATATCAAGTACATACGTTTACGGATAAACGGTCTCCGTTGTCGTCAACACACTTAAAAAATTTTCCACCAAAAAACTGCACACCCATGATTGAGAATATCAACCAAAACACAAGACAAACCAGCAGAACGTTAAAAATTGATGGAATTGCATACATCAGAGCATTCACAACTATCTAGTAATATATAAAATAAGCGCATATTATATTACATTCAACGTAAAAGTATTTTTAGACTTCGCAGTACTTACTCGCATCCCTTGCCATCTTGATATTGCCCTGAGTGGTCGCAAAGCTCGGAGAGTTCTTAACGACCGTAGAACTTTTAAATTCTCATTTTCATCAATTAGTAAACTAAAAATTGACATCTGTTTCGAAAAAAATAACCAAAACAATTTTAATCTGTTTTAATATCAAAAATGTATTTATATTACCATTGCAATAATGAAGTCTAAAGCTGTCCAAAAACTTTTAAAGTATTTATAAACCCCTAATGCTATCCATTTTAGCATAAGTTCAATTGTGAAAATAACGCAAAACGTAAAATTAGTCCAATATAATGCAGTTTTGAGCGTTTTATTATCGTCTAGGTAAATATCTTCGAAGCATAAAGTTACACTCGACGCAAAAATCAACACTAGTATAAACCATTCAAATATCGGAGTATCGACTACCACGAGAGTTCTCTGTCGGAAAGTCATCCATCGGTCGCCAAAACAAGAATCAACCCATTCTTTTTTTATTCCAATCCTACAAAGTACAAATTATAGATATTTAATAATTAAAATAATATTTTAACAGTTAAATTCAAATCTATTTTATTATTTAAATTATCCATAATATAAATGTGTCTTTAAGTATATAAAGCAAATAATGCAATTATTAAAATTGTATGGCTTTAGTACAAAAAAATATAATAAAATTACTATAATGATTTGTATTATTTGTTTTAAGAGTAATATAATATGATCAAACAAATATTATAAATGATGTTCTATAATATTAAAATAAATAAATAAATTAATTAAAAATAATGTTTTATACAAATACAATAGGTAAGTTTATTGAAATTATTTTAATACAAAATACATGCGTTACTTACCTTTGATAGCAATTAATAGGAAAACATTCTAGTGGTGCCTTTGATTGTTTATTTCTTCCAAACCCTGGAAAACTGGGAGCCGCATCAACGAAATTTCCTTGGGAGTCTCTCCTTCCACCCACGGTTAAGTCGTCCACATAAGATACAAGTGTTATCCAAGGTTTCTTTTTGGACTTTTCATCAATTACTATATCCTTATTTTTTTGTTTCAAGAAACAAGTTTCATCTTGATCGTCAATTTCATCTGAATAGTTATAATCAAAATAAAATACACAGCTTAATATCTAAAACAATGTATCTATAGAAGAAAATAGAATTCATTTTCTTAACTTCAATAATTTAATTTAATTATTACAACCAAAATATATTCTTTTAACTTCATGTGAAAATATTATAGAAGTTTATGTGTTAAGTATTTACTTCTTATCAAGTTATTTAATTTAAATTTTTTTTTATAAATCTTATGAACCAATACTCCAAGTTTAATACTCAAACTTTAGTGCAAGTTATTAACTACTTGATTAAAATGTATAATAATTAAGAACCATCAACCAATAATAAATAATAATGATTAATGATGTGTATACGAATATCATATATTCATATTATGTAGTCCTCGTTTCACAGTTTAAATTTTCAAGAAATAATTTTATTTTAAATGTTTCAAGATTAGACTAGGTTGACTATAATTAATAATTATGATTATAATTTTATGTCTTGATACTATAATTGACCGTGTTCGATAAATATTTTATTTTATACTTATTAAATATATTATACTTATAGTTTTTATTTATATAAAACTACCATTTTATATGCTTTTAATATGTGTATGCTTAATTATTTTGATGTATAGGTAGTAGGTACATTAAAAAGTATTCCACAAAAAAGCTATTCATATCAATAATATAAAGTATAGACAAAACAGAATTTCATCTCTTTTATAAAAACATAAATTTTACCTTTACTACTGTCTTGTCTAGTGGCCAATATGTATGATCTTCGATGTATACCTGCTGGTGGTGGACTAGTGTGGTAATGTTCGGATAACTCAAATGTTTCATCTAGCATTGGTAAGTCTAAGTCTCTTGTTAATGTTGGTGCATAACACATGGCGTCTTGCATGATTTGATGGTACAATAAATCATCAGATGTTGATTCCTGGCAACTAAATACTGGTGTCTGTTGAGTTGTGAGTGGTCCTTGGTTATATCCTGTAAACAAAGCTATTTTAAATTGAATATTATTTATTTTTTATTTTCACATAAAATGATAATATTATGTATAGTGTGTCCAAATATATTAAGAATTTTTACTAGATTTTTCAAACAACTGAGGGTTGGAAATCAAAGTTTAAAGTTAAGAAAATGATGGAGGGAAGTGTATAGACAATATCACCGAAATATGGTTATGCAGATTACCATATTTTTACCACTTTAAATATTAGTAGCACACCCTATACCTGTAGTACGTTTAATGAATTTTAAAGTTATTGTGACATTAAGTGCACCCAACCTGTATACAATGTAATTAATAATTAATTAGTAATTTCTAAAACATAACGAGTATGCTAAGAAAATTACTTTGTTTGTATGGATAAAATTATAATATAGTATACTATTTATGATTGTATACTATAAACTTATAATTATTATTGAAATGTTATATATAAAAATGCCGGTGTTGCGTAAGTAATTTATTCAATGAATTTTAAGAAGGTAAATATATAAAATATATATTATTTTTGTATTTGAAAATTTAAATTAAGTAATAATAAGAATATTATCTTAGTGATGTTTAAAATAAATTAAATTACTCATAAATGGGAAGGTGCAGGTTTAGGATCTCAGGATCAGCGTGTTCAGTAGGTATAATAATATGTAGTCTATAAATCCAATATTATAATTTATACAGACTAGTCAATGCTATATAAGACAGAGCAAAAACTGACAGGTGAATTTCTGATTTATATAATTTAGAAAAAACGGTTGCGAAGCGACGACCTGATAACTGTCGAACCAATTCGCGGATCTTCTGACATAATTAAAGCGAAATTTAATGTCTGGAGGGATGAATACATGATGAGCTGTGTTTGAGCGGGAGTTTTGATGAAACTAGAAGTGACTACGAAATGACAAACATTAATCTATAGTCACCCTGAAGAAGACGCCTGGAATTGTAAATGATCAAATACGAGCGGCGTTTCCGCAAACTTTGTGTCTTTGTAAATAGCTTTTAGTATATTATTATTATAATATGTACATATCAAATTATTGGAAGTTAGGTATATAACGCCCATAGGCGCAATTCAGTTTTTCTTTGTGGTGCTGGTCTCAACGAATTTATGGCAAATATACCCATGTGGGACGAAGCCCTCTCCGTACTTCCGTTTTGCTTACCTTTAATGCCTTCAACAATTTTTATATCTTACAAGATTTTTACTCCGCATTTTATTGATACATTCTTATTATTACTAAGGCCTGTCCCGAGAGGTGTTGTAGGGGATATCACGCCCTAGGTCCCTATACAACCATCTACAACAAAATAAATTACAATACCTACCAAGTATGATACGATAAGGAAATGAAAAACCAAAATGAAAATAACCGCTAATGGATTATATTATACAACGAATTTATGTAGTAATATTATATCAATGTTCAGAACATTATCTGTTTAAAAAAAACATTATATTATGTTGGTTTTTTTACAATATTTCAATTTTCTGTGATAAAATGAGTTTTTAAAACTATAATATTTAAATACTCACAGCCCATAAAAATTGAAGTATTGTAAAATGATTTACTTAAAATCACAGATAATATTCCCAAATTTAGTTTAGTAATAGGTCAATTAATTTTAATATTAAAGCTAATAAATAACACAAGATTAGTTGTACCTATTGAACGACGTTATGTTGTGAGAGAGAGAAAAAAAAATAGGGCACCTGACATCATCTTAATAAATCTTAAAGATACAATTTCAATGATAAATAATATTATTATCATTAGTCAATAGATAACCACAATATTATGTTTAATTTATAGTAGATGTGATAGGGCCATGGGAAGTAGGAGTTAGTTTTTAATGATGAAACTAACAAGTCTGAAATTATAAGTTTTAGGTTTTAAAAACTATTATGCAGTAAAATCTATTTATTTTAATCTCGGACAGGGGAGTTGTGATTATGATAATACCGAATAAACGTTCAAAATTCGATTAACAAAAATAAGTTAGTCATCGAAGCTACCCGTCATATTTTAAACGAACCTCGAATTATAAACACTAATTTTATTGATTTAAGTAGTTTTAAATAAATTTAAATATTCGTACACATAAAATATTTAAATAACATATTTTATAACCGTCAAGAATAAGTAGTTTCAAAGTAAATTAGGATCAAACATGCACATTACTCGCACATTAATGTCCACCTCTAACACAATCTCAGTTATACTACCTACTATAGAATAACAATATTTAATTACTGATATTAAATCACACTTTACCTTGAAATAGTAAAAAAAAAATATTAATTCGTATACCTGGGTACATAAATAAAAATGCATAAAACTTTTTTTTTGTTTTTGTTTTAAGTAGTTTGTTCATAAAACGCCAACAACACATTACTGGTTTTTAAACATAAATAATTATTATAATACAATAAATTAAGTCTGTATAATTAAGTAAGTGATTAAGATTTTGTTGCAAATAGAATACATTAGAACTATGATCTATATAATATTGATATTTAATTTCGGTTCTTATTTCCCCCATTTTATAAAAAAAAAAGTATAGCACTTATACTTAAGTGGCCATCAAGCCGAGACGCCGTGTGCTAGTCCGATGTAGTAACAATATTATCTAACACCTGTGTACCCTTTGTGACATATTGCTTGTCATAATATATTTTTACATACTCTTTTAAAGTAAGGATAAGGTTTTTTAATTTAAAAAAAGACAAATTTTCTTTAAGAACATTGAAGCTCAAAGATTCGCACACTTTAATGTTTTATTATTTTTGTCACAACGTGTAATATACTTGTATGTTTTGTAACTTTTTTAGTGTATATTTTATAACATAAAAATTAATGACAATTCAACGAAAATAAACCCGAAAAAAAGAACTATATCAGACTGAATAATTCCGTATCGTAGTACGAGCTTTCTATTTAAACATGACCTAACGACGTATTAATAAAAGTTGTGGAAACGTAACAATTCAATTGATTTAAACAGTGGTTGGTAAATGCACGCTGTAGCGTGTCGGAAAAAAGAAATTGTATTATGAAATATTTATTCACAATGTAATTTTAGATAAAAATATATTTTAAACATTGTATAAATAGAACGTGAAAAAAATACATAATTTCAGTTATAAATTCTGAAAAATCAATAAAACCAAAGGTCACAACAAACACTAAGTCTACGGCAACGTCATTGCGTCGAGTGAAATACAATAAATTGGCGTTTGAAATACTTAAGCCTAAAAAACACGTATGCTGATTTTATACGGTCCCTAGGTGGTTTTCTAAAGAACTTCGAGCGATGGTTAAAGAGAAAAAAGGTTTGCATAAATTGTTCAAGTCGTCCGGTAATAAGGCAAATTATGAAACTGAGGAAAAAATGCAAAGAGATGTCTAAATTATGTTATGTTAAATAAGTGGAGAAAATCCAATTTTCTATGACTAATAATCTTAAGTATTTCTGGAAATTTGTTAGAAATAAGCAAAAAAGTAATATTATTCCGTGTAACATATCTAATGGTGCCGTCGTTGCAAAAAATATGGATGATACCGTGAATATGTTTAAGATGTATTTTGAATCTGCTTACAGTCATCCGAGTAGTAACGTTAGTCACATCCAATGCTATAACTCAGATATCAATTTTAATAGTTGTCAGTTTAACGTAACCGAAATATTTGAGATACTTCGAAATTTATCATATAATACTAAAAGCGGTCCAGATAAAATCCCCGAAATAGTGTATAAAAAGTGTTACATTTCATTAACTAGCCCCATCCAGTATCTATTTAATCTCTCATTATTGTCAGGTTGTTTTCCCGATCAATGGAAATCTAGCTTTATTTATCCTGTATTTAAGTCAGGAAATGCTGTTAAAAACTACCGCCCTATATCGCAACTTAGTTCATTGCCAAACATTTTTGAAAAATTATTAGTACCATAATGTACCACCGTTTTTGATAAAGTAATCTCTGAAAATCAACATGGTTTTCGCCACTCAAAGTTAACAATGACCAATTTGTTAGTCTACTATACAGATCTTATATCATCAATCGAGAAAGGTATACACTATAAAGGTTGATGCTGTATACACAGATATTAGAAAAGCATTTGTAGTGTAGACTTATCTATCCTGGTGGAAAAACTAAAATGTCTCGGTGTTGTTGGACAAATGCAGTCCTGGCTTAAATCATAACTGAATGGTAGAACCCAGCAAGTAAAACTTGGTAATTTTATTTCATCGGCTATAAATGTCACATCAGGAGTTCCACAGGGGGGGGGCACTTATCACCCATATTGTTTACACTTTTTATCGATGGCATTAAAGATATCTTTAAAAGCAGTCACTTCCTAATGTTCACGAATGACTTAAAACTATATATACATATTTAGAGGACTGCCTTAAACTACAAGCGGATCTGGATATTTTTCATCAGTGGTGTTCATTAAATGGATAAATGCTGTATAAATGCTGATAAATGTTCACAAATCTCTTTTTCTAGACTTAAAACAAACACTTATTTTCAATATAGAATAAATAACACAAACTTAAAGATTGTAACACAGATAACGAATCTAGGTATATTATTGTCAAATGGCTTATCATTTAATATCCATATAGGTAACCATGATGTGTAATAAAGCTCTCAGGGTATTCGGTTTTATAAGACGAAACTGTTTGGAATTTAAAAACCCAAATTTCTCTAAATTATTATATTGCTCTTTAGTCCTTTCTTTATTGGAGTATGGCACTATGGCTCAATAATGTGGAGTCCCCATCAAACTGGCCAAATTAAGAAAATTGAACGAGTTCAAAAACGTTTTTTTAAGAGTACTAGCTTTTAAAACTAATAGAACCGACGTCTCACTTGAGCAACTAG